AACTACTAGTCACCTATTTTTATAAGCTTTAAGATATTTACATATAAAATTGTTGAGCGTATAGCCAGATATATATTTTTGCCATAACTCCTATGTATATACATAAGTATGTGTACCCGCAATAGAATGCTTTAAATAAAATAATTTGAATTCGCGTAGAACGCACTGAACTGACTTAATCACTTGCAAGACAAATACATATAACTAGATTCCGTTTCGGATTCTGAGCTCCTCGACAAAACACGTAAAAATACTATGTGCTAGTAACGATTCTTAGTGCAAGAATCAATACTGAGTACAAGTATCGCTGGTAGCGACTCGCTACTGAGTACACAAGTATCGATTCTGAGTACAGGTATTGATTCTAAGTATTGGTATCCATTCTGAGCACAAGTATCCATTCTGAGTACAAGTATCGATTTTGAATACAAGTATCGATTCTGAGTACAAGTATCTGAGTGCTGAGTACTTCTTAGTACTCAGAATCGATCCTTTTTAGAATCGAGTACTGTCGATTCTTTTCAGAACCGAGTATTTACTATTTTAAGTATCGATTCTGCCCAACACTAATATGTACATATGTATGTACATATATTCATATAAATGAAAAAAGGAAAGGCTCTTGAGAAATGGGCTATTTGTAGGTGAGTTTATTTCTTTCTTGAAGGAAAGTCAAGATGCAAGGTTGGCATAAACCTTCGATTTTAGTGAAGGAATTTTTTCTGGTTGTGGGCTGTCCACCACGTAAAACAATGCTCCAGTAAAAAGACCAATCTTGTCTCAAATGGGACCTCCTTCTTTTGTTGACGAATGCGGTGAACGTTTAAAGAACGCTAATAGAGAAGGCGCCTGTGTCTGCTCAGGAATTGCATAAGCTTTTCAAAGATGTAGACATAGTGCAGCGAATTAAACAGAGTGGCTCCGATCGCTCGGGAATGTCATACGAATAGAGAGAAAACATATAACGCGGATAAAGATGTTTGTAGCAAATGAAGAGCAAGACTTCGGCGCTGGAAAGACTAGGCGGAAAAGGGCTTGTGACATTTATGTACAATTGGCGTTAGTTGGTACAGAACAGAAATGACTGGCCTGCTATATAGAAACCCTTAGGCGGTTACGGTGCCGACAAGAAGAAGAAATTATCAAAATGGAATGCATTTTCAATTTTGCTAATTTTTAAATTTCTTTCATTTATTTCGGAGTACTGATGCTTCTCAATACAAAATTTGATGCAAGTTTTCTGCTTTAAAGCATTCTTAAAAAAAAAAAAAAACTTAGAAAGCTACCAATTGCTTTATTATTAGACAACCAAACAACTTAGGGCGTATAATTCGATACACAATTTGCGTATCATAAAAAATAACAGCCTATTTTGAGCCTTCGTAATTTCCCAAAATACAAATAAAAGTAATAGAGAGTTTCAGAACTTTGTTTACACGCGTAACACGCGCCAACATTCCAACAACGGTGGGCGCAATGTATGTAGTAAAAAGTAAGAATTGTAGTCAAATAAAAAATTATGCGTCGCACATTGACCATTGACATTGTTTTTCTTAGTCATTGTTGTTGTATAATTACCATTATTGTCACAAAAAAGAAACAAATAAAAACTAAAATTACACAATTGGCAAGCAGTATAAGGTGGACGATTTGGCGGGTTCAGCTAACGGAGTCCAGTTGGAAAGACAAAGTAATGGGCCACCCACTGACAGCAAAAGCATTGTCCGCATGGCTTGGTGTGAGATATATACATACCTAATACTAATAAAGTAAAAACCCAATATTTTGGGACAGTCTGTATGCTTGTTTAAGTCCATTGAGTTTCTAACGTTAGATGAGATAGTGCGGCTCTTTTGAACCAACTTGCCGTAGCTCGCCAGCCTTCCACTTGCTGTGTTAATGTTAAATTGTAAAATCAATTATAATGAACAGAATGCCAGAGAAGAGAAAAAATAAAATATAAGTTAAGGATTGAAAAAGACAAAGTCTACCTTGCCGGAATAGTAAGAACAACACACATAAAACAAACAACAAAAAAAAAACATACAATATGGCCAACAAAGGTGCGCAAATAGTTATTTTGGGATGGACAAAAGGAGCACGAAATTAATGTTATCACTTACAAACATAGTAAGGTTTGCTTTTCTTTTGGTGTAAGAGAGCGAAAAGGATGAAAATAAATAAACAAGAAAAATGTAAGTTACACGAGCGTAAAAAACAATACATTTAGTACAAGTAATTTTTAAGCGACCTTAAGAAAGTCGAAAACGAAAGTTAGAGGAAGAAAGACTTTAGACAACAAGTAATTTTTAAGCAAAAAACGAAACCGACTTCAAATCCCATTATCAAATTTAAAGGTAACGTTAATGTATTCATGATCCAATAATCGTATCTAAACTAAATGTGTATGGGACTACCTCTGAGGTACCACCTTTCCTTTAAAAAAAATTAAGAAATTATAGAAATCGGTTAACGAGGTACAAAGTAATGCGGAAAAGTTGTAATTTTAAACAAGTTTGAAAAGTTCCTTTAAAGATAACAAATTAAGTATTTGTTGCCCATATATTTGCTAAGTGCCTAATCAAACTTTATCTCCGGTTTGCGGTGTGCGCCTTGGGGTTAAGACACAAATGGGAAACCAACTTTCTATGCCATCACCGAAGAGCAAATGGCTTTTATGAAATGTTTTTTCGGCCATGCGAAAGCAATTTATGTATTTATTTAAATTCATATTCCTATTCGTCTACATCATAGTTTTCGAGACAGTTTTAGTCTTAGCCTCGGTGTCCATATTCGTCTTGTTAACTTCGCTTAGTGTTCATTTTCGTATTTGTATTTGTCTTCGCCTTCGTAATCGGCTTCGTGTAAGATGTCTTATTCTCATTTGACTTCGTATTCGCTTCCATTCTCATATTCTTCTTCGATTTCATATCTTCTCCGTATTCATCTTCACATTCGTATCCGGCTTCCTATGTGATCGTTGCATTCGCCATCGTATTTAACGGTGTTCATACCTCAACTATTTATCTATTTATAGCCGTCTTCGTCCTTCTCTTGATCTTAGTCTTCCTTTCTTTTCCCTACTTTATCTTTATCTTTAATTTCTGTATGTGTCTCCGTATTCGTCTCCATCTTCTTATTTATATTCGTCTTAATCTACATATTCATGTTCGTTTTAGATTGCAGCTTTCATTCTAGTATTCGTGTCCGCTTTTGTCTTGGAATTATTCTTCATCGTTGCATTCCTCTTCATACTCGAATTTGTCTTCGCCTTTGTCTTATTCTTAGTAACTGTTGTTGCTTTGGGCTTGGACTAAGTCTAGGGCTGCCAGACGTCCTGGTCTTCTAGGATTTGTCCTGGTTTTGACAAATTGTTGTAGTGTCCTGGTCTGCACTTAAATTGCTCTGGGTTTTTAATAACGATTTCATAATTGGCAGAATTTTACTATGCATAAATGTTAAGATTTCTGTTATTAGTAACCTACATTCGTTCAGTTTTTATAATGTAATGAAAGCGCATTTTACACCAAATAAACAGCTGTTAGTTGAGACAGTTAATTGCAGTTTTTGATGTAAGTAATTTTGACATAATGAAAACCAAGCATTGGATAAAGTTTTAAGACTATAAAGAATCTGAAATCTTATTTATTTTTTGTGAACTTATTTGTATATTAATGCTTAAACATTTATCGAAGTTCCGATTGTTCAATTTTCTTGTATATTTTTAATGCATTCGAAGTATTGAAAATATCGGTTTTTATATACAACACATCGAATAAGAAAACGGGAACAAAATTCTAAGGAACTTTCTCTCGAAGAACAATTTGGGAACTAAAGTCTCAGGGATGTTCTGACAGAGAACGAAACAGGAACAAATCTTCTCTGAACTATTCGCGAAGAAAATATTTGTCATGGCGGTGCATTAATTTGAAATATCTGAATATTAAAATGAAAAAAATAACATCATGCAAATTAAGTCAACGAAAGACTTAAGACACGAACTTTTCTTGCACAGAAAATTAAAAATTGTTTCATAAATGGGCAGTTCACCCTAATGATAAACGATCTGTAAGTTGAAATGATCCAGCCTTCCTCTGGCTTAGAATTAATCATTGTTCTCACTGAACGGATTTTTCATCACAGCACGCAGACGCCCCTCTAATTCTTGATGTTAAGTTTTCAAGGCTCTAACCCCCTATTGCGAGTAGTAGATAAACGACTATTTTTCGATTATCGATTTTCCATGCTATTTAGAATGTCGATTTCTCGTTCAATAAGCGACTGCGAATATTTTGTCGCTCATCCTTCTACAAACGAACAATTGTTGGATAATTGATAATCGATTAATAGTCGTTTATCTACTAATAGTCGACACTCACAATAGGGGTGTTTTGTTCTCTAGCAAAACGTTCCCCAGGCTTTTGTTCTTATGCACGAAAGTATTGTTCTCATTTTGTTCTTCTTGAGAATGTTTTTGAGACTTTTGTTCTCATTTTGTTATATATATGTTATATATATATATATCAACCTTTCTTACCTCAAATACCACTGAAGCTAGCTGAAAATATATACTAGCTTCTAAATCTTAAAGAAATGTTCCAAAGAAATATGCTTTAATATTTTTTAATATTTTGAAACAAGGTTGCATTTAACATTCAATCCTTTGTTATTTGAAAATAATTTTTTTAAGATTTACTTGACATGCGCATTGTGTTTACAGCATTCGCATTTGACTTGAAATTCGAAAAGAACTTTCAAACAATAGCGGATGTGCCTGGCATTCAGTTGATTGCAACGAAACGGACATATATTGTCCGTACATACATACAAATATTGTCATGCATTCACTATTTTTATATGCAATTACAAATAATTTCATCTATGTACATACATATGTATGTCAGTATGTATGTACATTTGAACTTACTTTGCCCCACATTACATTTGTCTAATTGCCACCATCTTTCCTTTTCTTTCCAAACTACTTGCAGGTGCGTAAGACGTTTGCGTCAAGAGCTGCTTGTCGTAATTAGTTGGTCAAAATGTCTGATTGCGAGTGACCGGAAAAGTCTATTGCTTGGGATCAGGAACAGCGAGAACAGCAACACAGCACGAAATCAAGAAGTTCGCATTGCGCAATGCGGATGTGTAAAATACTTTAAGAGTACGAAATAGAATAAAATGAAAAGAGACCATCTAATAACATTTAGTGAAATTGAAAATGAAGCTGCAAAAATAAGAAATAAGAGAAAAACATGATTGGAGAAAATGAATTATATAAACAAACAAGAAAGTTAGTTGCGAAAATGCTGCAAAAATCAAAGTGTCCAAACAGCAAATTGCTGGCGTATTAAGAAGTCACATACATACGAGCACAGATACGGTACGTGTACAGCATGCATAGCCATATCACGGTTGCCACTTTGGTAAAATGTTGCCAAAATCTCTGGTAATTTGCTAACTTCCGATTTCATTTGGTAACTTTCAGACAAAATGTTTAAAATCATTAAAATATTTTTGAATATCATATAATACATACACGCAGCTAAGTTCTTATTGAATTAATTTCTTTCTGATGATAAATACGAAATTGTGATTTATGATTGGCGATATGCACATATCCATAAGGAGCTAGGGTCATGGCGTAGGCTTCGGTCTTTTAAATTTAGAAGATTATTATATGAGATTTTAATATTAAACTGTGAAATAAAGAAGCTATCCTTGCCTCAAAAGAGATTTATTTTCGTACTATCTACATAGCAGTTGATTTAAAGTTTAGTTAAAATTGCTTTAAAACAAGAAAAATTGGTCATGACATATATTTAAATTTAATCAGATATAAAATGCGAAGAATTGGTCCAAAGGGGTGAAAACCTATAATCAATGAGTTCACTGGATCGCAAATTTAAATTTTTGTTCTGCCACTATGTAGAAATGCTCGCGGATTCCGAAAATCGAGTAAATTTTTTTTTCCTGTGGACAAGTTTTTGAGAAGTTTGCAATTTATCTTTATTCAGCTAAAAGAAGTGGTTGAAACTACTGAAAATAAAAGTAGGTTTTTTCACTTGTAGAAATAGGTGGATATTTTTTAAAGTAATTTTGAACAGTTTTGGCCAGGTTTTTTACATTAAATTTGTACGGGCCGTACTTTAATAGTGCAAAAATTGTAAAAAATAGAAGAGTTTTTGTAAATTTTTTTGTGATGAAGTCAAGCTACTAGCAAAGAAAATCGATAGATTATAAAACAGCTGAGTGGCAACTTTCATATAAGCTAGAAAGTGTAAATTAACGCCCATTGTTTATTACAAAAGAAAAAAGGCGTTTAATACTTTTGGTAAATTTTTGGTAACCTTTTAAAAAAATGTTCGTAAAATTTTTTCTAGGTGTGTGGAAACCGTGAGCCATATACGTATTTTTACGTGGAAGTATGAAGGTCTGGAAAAAGGTATATAGTATATATACATATATGTATATATATATCTGTGGACATTTGACAAACCAACTTTTCTTGATTTCTGCATTTTTTTTCCTTAAGGGTCTAAATTGTGGGAACCCAGTAAGTGGAGACTTAGTAAACTTTCAGAAATTTGTGTACTGCTGTTTCTTTGTTTTCGCTTCAAAAACTAGACCTCCCAAAGGCATATTCATAAATTTTTTTTTATCGGAAAAAATCCATAGATAAGTATGCACAATATCCCAATTCAAGAATTTCATACTTGGTTCCATTCCCACTCCCAGCCTCATTTGTTATGGTATCCGTTATGGAAACCATTGAACTGACTAGCAACATAAGTAAAAAAAAGTACATTGCCAAACAAACAGACGGGAGTTCGCTGTAATGTACCAAATATGTATGCTGAAGAAACTTTGGAATGACATGTGCGGCTGCCAAGCAATTTAATGAGATAAGTGGAGCAGAAATTAGGATAGCACAAGAAAGATATCTATGTACAATTCTGTGGTCACAAGCAATAACCGCCTGAGTCGACTTAAGAAAGAATGGAGTTATATATGCTATCGTATTCCGCAACCCCTATTCGATGGGTACGTGAAATCCCCATCTCGCCAGCAGGGCTACTTAAAATGTTATAGGCGAAAATATTTTGGTTTCCCCGTAAAGCTAACATTACAATTCAAATGTTTAAACATTTTTCTCGAATTCAGGTTTTTGGACTTAGGCGGTTTTTGCTTATGACCACAGAATTATTTTAAATTGATTGGTAAAGAACAAACAATTGTTTTCCATAATTTAGTAGCTTTATCTAACTTTATTGGTTATAATGCAGTGGTGCACAGCGTTGGCATAGCTCCCAATACAAGCGCAAAATTTTTGTATCAGTATGTATGTACTCAACAAAACCCAGCAAAAACTTTTAACTTTTTGGGAAATACTTATTTTTGTATCAATGGAGTAACGCAATACAAGTCGCCCCAAGAAAAATTTCGCTTATCCGTTGCATGATACCTAAAGGTGAAAAGGTGCCAAGTCCACTTCTTTTTATACCCGAGCGCACTTGTGAACAGGTTATTATAACTTTGTTCGCATGGTTGTTTGCAACAGGTAAAACGAATCGAAATAGATATGGACAAATGTATACATAATTCTGATCATTTAGAGAAGAAGAGAAGTCGATTAAGCCATGTCTGTCTGTCCGTCTGTTCTTCCGTCCGTCCGGCCGTCTGTCCGTGTACAAGATAAATCGAGCAAAAATTGAGATATCTCAACGGTATTTTCGAAAAATGCAAAAACTATGATTTTTCAATCCAAATTGTTGAAAATTAGTATATGAAGTGAAATTTTGGTAAAAAATAATATTATGAAATTTTTGGAAAAGGGGCATGACCCCGCCCACTTATGAAGAAATACTGTATCTTAGTAGCCGCTTCACCAATCCTTACCAAATTCGGTACGAGCCTTGCTGTGGGTCCAGCTAAGAAATTTGCTGGAAATCATTGAACTCGGGCAATAGCCACGCCCACCTCCCATATAATGGTAATTTACAGAAACACGAAAACTGCGATAAATCAGTAAATACTGAAGATAAGTGACTCAAAATCGATTATTGCAATGATCACTGAGCAGAAAATTTGATTAGGTATTATAAATTTTTGGATTTTGGGCGTGGCGCCGCTCACTTATGATCACAAATGTGGATCTCAGTAACCGATTTATCACTTTCTACCAAACTTGGTGTATTTAATAACCTTGGTGCGAGAAAGCAATTCGTTGAAAATTATTCAAATCGGACTAAAATTGCACCGATTTCCTGTATATTCCGGTAATTTTTTGATTTACGAAAACTCCGATATTTCAATAACTGAAGACGGTAATTTACTCCAAGTTAATACTTACAACAAGGCCCCTATTCGGAAATGCAGCAAACCAAAGCATCAGTCTCTTTTACTTTTAAACTATAATTGCTGGAAAAGCCCAATTTGTGTAACTAAGCTCCAATTCGGCATCTAACCGCGTTTGCGCATATTGCACATTTCCATCAATTATAGTTTAGAAATAAAAGAGACTGATGCTTTGGTTTGCTGTATTTCCGAATAGCTCCAATGTCTTAACAATAAATAAGACTGTTATAGACTTTTAGCGCCGGGTATATAAAATTCGGTTTCGACCGAACTTATATGTACTTCTTTAGTTGTGTGTGTGTTTTTTTTTTAATTTTGTTTGTGATGCAGAATGAAAAATTATGCGAATCTACGTCGACTTTTGTCTCTCCTGAACAATTACAAAAAATTAACTTGGCAGCTTTTCACATTTAGGTAACGATATATACATTAGTAAGGTAAAAAAAGCTTGTAATAAACCTCACGGTGAGGCTTGCCAAATGTCTGGGTGTAGGAGCCACTGGGCTTGGGACAAAATCTGCGCGCTGCGGGTTTGATATTAATTCCTTCGAGTTGCGGTTAAAAACTTTGAGATTCTCCGATTTACTGGAAATGTGACTAACAATAATTAATTTTCTATTTTGAATCGCTCTTCTAGTGCCATTTAAAATGTTTTAACAACCTTGTCGTTGTTGAAACTATTATCGATTGGCAACTGCATTTCAAAGAAAAACATCTCATTTATAAACCTGCCTTTACATCCATCAATTCAATCACTTCATATGTAGATACGCAGTGAATACAAATTTTTATACGAATACAGAGTTCAGAGAATTGCCGAAGGTAATTGGCAAAATTCTGCCTATACCAGTAAGCAATGAGGTTTTATAATGAATGAGGTTAAAATTGATAATGTCAAAAGCCTATTCACAGTGCTGACAAAGTGACATATCACAACAAGCCAGAGATGCTTTCTGTTTTATGAGCAAAGAAACCAACCAAAAGTTTAAGCGTATTGCCATCCTACCAACGAGAAAAATACCTACCAATTTTGGTAGGAAAAGCCCAAAATGTCTGAAATTCCCGGTAACACTGAATTACAAATTTTAATTTTGATTTTGTTCTCCAGACGCTGATTCAGAAAATCGAGTTAATTTTTTTTTATGAATACGTTTTCGAGATATTTGCAGTTTACCGTTATTCAGCTTAAAAAAAGAGTCGTTCCACTTAATCACGTATATCTTACGAACCATTTTAATAATATGAAATACTGCAAATGAAAGAAAAAAAACTCTCCATAAACCGTACATACATCACTTTTCGATAGCCTTGACGGTTCTGAGAAATAAGTTAATCATTCCAGAATTATTGGTTTTTTTTTATGGAAAAATGCTAAAAATTCAGGGAACGGATTCAAAAAATAATAGTTTCTGTGTAAATGCTGTGCACTTGTGTTAAAGTCTGTTCCGTTAGAAAAAAATTAAGCTACCAAAGAAGAAAATCGATGGATATATAAGATAATAAAAAAGCAGAAAAGGGTGTTACTCATACGTCACGTACAGCTGAGTAGCTAGAGTGCACGGTAGTTCGGATAGCAGATCTAGCTGGACGAAAGTTAAAATTTTTTTGTTTTTAAAATACTTAATAGTACTTGGAATACATTCCTGACAATACATTCAAATAGAAATTGCATTTATTAAAGCATTAACATATGTAAACAAACAAAAAAAGGTAAGTCAACGCCGCCTATTTGAGAACTCTATTTTAAAAGCTGAAATTTAACTTAAAAGATTGCTAATTGCACTCACAAATATTTGCATAATTGCAAATTGACTTTATACACAAAAAATTACACTTATTCCGCTATAGATTCAGAGGTCATAACGCAATTTATGTCCACATTGGTATAAGCAAATTTATTCTGGCAGGGGTTGTGTGTTAAAACAGAAAAATACTTGGAGTTATAAACCCTTTGGTTATGTAAGAGTTAAAAAAATAGTACCTCGCGAATTTTCTGCTTTCTGAAATTAAAAAAATATACAACAGGCATGCAAATCTTTAAGCGCTGTTATAAAATTTTTTCTGAAATTTATTTGTGTTTCTTGCTGTGATCTTAAATTTTAGTGTTGAAAGAAATATCTGATGAAAATGCTCGTTCCGAAGTAAATAAAGTAAATTAAGTAAATGACTTTAGATTCGTAATCAGCAACCCAGAAAATCCCCAGATACCCAGTTACATAGAAATCTACCGATTTTTTTAAATTTTCGTCCGCCATATTGGATCCGCCATTTTGAATTTTTGGTAAATGACTTTAGATATGTAATAGCGACCCAGAAAACCCCCAGATACCCAGTTTCATAGAAATCTACCGATTTTTTTTTTAATTTTCGTCCGCCATATTGGATCCGCCATTTTGAATTTTTGATAAGTGACTTCAGATTCGTAATCAGCGACTCAAAAATCCCCTAGGTAAGAAGTGGTGTAGAGATCCATCAACGAGTATTTGTTTAAATAGTTTCGTCCAGCTAGATTTGCGATCCGAACCACTGTGGAGTGTTGGCAAAAAACTAGATAGACCTTCTGAGATTGAAGGCAACATGAGTTTTGCCCACCTGCAGTCCCTCGATGACACCCAGTCATTGCTGAGCGAAGTTCTGTTTCTAATAGTGGGTTCGATGGCCGAAGTGGGGAATTCTATAACTGGTTGCGGACCGAGGAATGCCTGTTCTGAACCAACTCTGGCCAAATAGACAGATGTCTCATTACCAGGTAATCCCGAGTGACCTGACACCCAGAGCCAGTGTTGTCGCGCAGCATTTTTAATGGTAGCCCAATTCCTTTAAAAAAATGGCTAAAAAAGAGCTAAAAAAAAGTCGTTGTGGCTAAAAGTGGTAGCTAAAATTTACTTACATAATCATATATAAGTATAAACGCAAACATTTTCAATAAGTAATGGTATAGAAAAACAATGAACTCTGGAAAAAAGCTACTATTTTATCCAACCTAAAACCTTTTTGTATAATAGGGGAAATATACGACACCAGCTTGCTGGCTCGATCAAGTGATTGTACCATCAGGCTCGAAGCATATAACTTACCAGCATGCTGGTACAATATTTATTTCTTTACAAATGAGGTCCAGGAAAGATCGAAACGATTAGAGCCGAAATTTCGTAATTTTTCCACCATTTTGTTAAACATTGCTTTTTTTTTATTCACAACTACAATATCTTGAACTTAATATTCCACAAACATGGCTTTGACTCATATAGTGCAAGAAATTTCCGCCAAAAAATTTTCAAGTAGTTTTTGAAGTCGCACCAGCAGCTGGTACAATCACAAGAACATACACGGTCAATCGCCTTGATAGGCCATTTAACAAATGAAGCATATTAAGGGCCAGTTTTTCAGTGTACAGCCGTGGTTTAAACTAAGTTTAAACGCCCGATCTGGCTTGTGTTAACTAAGATCAGCCAATCAAATGTCAGCCAGCTGTTCAATTTAAACTCGGTTTATTTAATCTGAATTTAAACTTGACTGAAAAACTGACCCTAAGGGCTGTAAACTTATCTATTTTAAACTATAGTTAAATCGTTAATAGATAAGTTAAAAAACAGCCCTAACACTAAGTATGTATAAAACGTAAGGAACATACAATACACACATGTATATATATCAGTCTTTCTTAGTTTAAAAATTCATCTCTTAAATAAATGCAAAAAAATTAGATCAAATTAAACGTAAGTATAGAACTTTTTCATGCCCAGTATGAATAAATTCCCCAAAGGGCTAAAAAAAGGGCTAGGGGCAATTTTAAATTTATGTGGCCAAAAAAATAATGTGGTAGCTAAATCTAGCCACCAAAGGGCTAAAACGGCAACACTGCCCAGAGCAAAGCAAGCTCGTTATGTTTACCGACATAATTTAGTCCAGACTTGCATTGCCGAACTAGTTTGGAAGTAGTTAGAGGGCAAGACAATGCTTGGCTGTCACAGCAGAGACATATTTTCCACCACGTAGACCTTGAGGGTTGAAAATGCCATCGCTTATATTTCAGAGCCCTTCGTTGACGATAAACATTTAACCTGCAGCAATAGTGATAGTATGAGCCTACAGCTATTGAGGAACCTCTTACGAAAGTAGTGTTGGAGAGCTTCATATCGTATATATAGGACGTATTTCCAGATTTCCTAACGAAGGCGTTGTGCAGAATAATAGAAGGAGAGGCAAAGTAAGTAAACAATTAACCCTTAGTTAGGCGCATAAAGCAAATCACACAATCAGTCGCATAAGGTCTCGAGTGACCATTAAAAAGTGTTGAAAAAGGAGTGTAAGAAATAAAAAATTGAAGTCTTTTTTATGAAAAATAATAAATACTTTATTATCGTTAACTTAACAAAAAAAAAACAAAAAAAATAACATTGATTTCACTCATAGATTAAAAATAAAAATTTACCTCTGCCAAAAAATGTTACGTTAGTGCTCGCTTAGGGTCAGCACTCAAGAGAATAGCGACACATGTGTACGCGTCAATGTAATAGCCGTGACTAAATTACGCACCCCGTAGGATGCTAAGTTATAAGCTAAACAGAGCTCGAGCCCGCTCCTAGCTCTCCAAGACATTTGTTTCCACTTGAAGGCCTTGCGCCTAATTAAGAGGTAAGTCTAACTGCACGTGTTATCGAAAATGTTTGAAAATGGGGTAAAACCACCCGTGCTTGCCTTTAACGGTAGTTTTTAGAAAGGTGAAAAACTGTATGTAATACGCCCGCCGGGTATTTAATCTTCAGCTTCGGCCGAACTTAGACTTTTTTACTTGTTTTAGTTAATACAGAAAGCCTGACAAAAAAAATTTAAAGTTGTTTTTCTAGTTTTTTAGACATTCCTTCAGCTAACAAGCGTTTGTTAACAAAATAAAACTAGCACATTTAAGAAATTAACCATAACCTGGCGGAGTAAGCTGTCTTAAAGTATCAGATTTATGACGAAAAAACCAGCATGTCAAAAACATCCGATTGCCACCGGCGACAACAAACAAATAGGCATCAAATTTATTTTAATGTCATATTATTTATCGAAATAAAAGTTAAAAGAGAATAAAAACAAAAATCAATGCTTAAATAAACATTCATAGCTGTGCAGTACGCATTGCTAAGCAAAAGTTTAAGGATAGATGCGCCGTTTTAAGACAAGCAAAGGCAACAGACGGTGAAAAACATTCAAAAAAGAAAAACAGTCGAAATGAAAAACAAGAATTTGTGTACGACTCGTAACAGGCACAACCGAGTTTTATTTATTTTTCAAAGCTGGCAGCACATGTGCAGAAAACACACCATTTAGCTAAGCCAAAAGACATGCCTGAAAACTTACATACATAGTATGTATATGTATGTTTACCTGCCATACACATATTGCGAACACATAAAAGCATACATATGTGCAGTGGCGGGAAAACAAATAGGAACGCGACATTTCAACAAGTTTTAGCTATTTTTTTTTTTTGGTTTAGTATACCTATGTGAAAGCATAGTTCACTATGTAATAAAATCCATGTGTGTTCGAATTTCATGCTTCGTACAAAAATTCAACAAATTTTCATAAAAATTTCAAACTTTTGATCAAGAATGTTTGGAGAAATGTATGCAATTTTATAGCCTATTAAATTCGAATATAAAAAAGTCACGATCGATGTAGATTTTTGCCAACTTTTGTTGTTCCATTCAAGGTATGCTCTAACATTTTTAATATGAAAGAAAATGCCTACCATCAAAAAATTGCCAAAAATCAATGGTATCTTGTAGCTGCTCGAAACCAGCACTTTATGTAGTATACTAAAATTAACTGGTCTATAAAAGTGCGTACCAATAATTTTCTAAAAAAAAAAAATTATTCTTAATCAAAATTTGTAAATTTCGATGAAAATTTGTTTATTTTTTTTAATAATGTGTACAAAGTTGGATTTATACGGTATTTGTTGTATAATTAGCTAGACTTTTATAAAAAAAATTACAAGCATTAAATAAAGAAAATAAAAAGGCCAAAACTGATCAAAATGTTGTTGGCTTATTTAGTTGAGCGCAATGGCATATGTGCATATGCTCGTATATGTACGTATTTATGTAAATATGTATGTATGTAAATATTTATGAATGTGTGTATCTTACCTAGAAAAATTACATGAAAATAATACAAATGCACGACACGTAAAATCAAAACGATAAAAGTGATAAAAAAAGCAAAGTGCTTAGAGTGATGGAAGTGAAAACAAAATATTGCAAAAAACGCACACACACAAACACACTTCTATAGTTTTTCATCAAAATGGAAGCGGGTTTGTGTGTGCTGGGAGAGGAAAAAAAACTAAGCACATGCTTAATGTTGAGTTCCTCTTCGTTTCAAGTTTTTTCCAATTCTCAATTGCAGGTGGGATGGGCGAAATGCGTGTGTGAGTGAGTGAGCGAAACACAAACATTCGACTGTAAGCAGCAGCAGCAGCAGCGAAATAAATAGAGAAATACAAGAAAACAAACATATGTGTATAAAAAAAAACAACTTGAAACTATGTATGTATGTTGTGGAAGTGAGCAAAAAGAATTAAAGTGGCAAATCACAAAAGTAAATTCAACAGTGAAATCGGTTTTGGAGCCTGTGGGGCCACCAGCACCAATACTTAGCCTTTCTGATAAAGTACATTTTTAACAACATTTATATGAACAGATGTGTGCCGAATTTAGTTGAACAGTTTAATGCCGTAACATATTTAAAGATTAAAATATGCATTTCTCCAATATTTAACAAAAAACCCCCAGAGAGAAATTCAATAAATTATATCTGTGTATATAGTAGGACGAGTATTTATATACATACATAGTGTCCTTATAATACATGAATAAGTAAAATTTAGCATAGTTTTTGCTGAGCGAAAAGTTGAAAAAAAATTAACAAGAGAAATCGCTTCCGGTGCAATTGGCGTCGACAAACAATAAGCTACCAAACAAAGCTGCTCTACGGCAAGCAAGCAAGCAGTGCTACAAGCACAACTACAAAATGGCTGCGCAAAATTGCATTTCGCCATTTTTACCACCCCTCCGAATGGCTTTCCTCACATTGCCGTTGTTGATAGTGCATACACAGGCGCGAATCGGTAAGTGATTTCTTCTTTTTATTAAAAATTTATGCCACAAATATTGCCTTAATATTTTTCATAGATAAAATTGCAGTTAATATTTATGAAAAAGTAAAATTAAAATATAGAAAAAGAATGGTACATGTAAAACTAATTTATGCAATTAAATTTTAATGAAGCTTCATTACCCTAAGGGCTGTTGAAATGGTAACAGTACAAATATTTGGTTTGCAAAGTGATGTTCAGCCAAATAAAAAATATTAGCACTGTTCAGGATCTACTGCAATAAAATGCAAACGGTTGTCATGGTATCATTCACAAAATTTGCAAATCCAGGACTATTTGCACAAGATCCTGAACAGCCCAATTTTACATATATGCCTACAAATATATATAAGTTGTAATTATTAATACATGCGTGTCTAAAAACCGGGGTGTTAAACTTTTTTTTCCAGCTCAGGAAAACAGCAAATTGTGGGTCTCACGCAAACTATGCCCAAGCGTTAGTATTCACATCTATGCAGTAGTCGCATTCCAAAGGGGCCTTACTCGACTTCATAACAATTAAAATTTTTCCTAGAACATCATTGTGACCCAATTTTGCAAGAATGCCAGCTAGAGGTTTCAAAAATTCCACAAAATTTTTAAGAATTATTGTGTACTCGGATTTACCGAAACCAAAAAATACGCTGCGAATTAAAAGGGATGCGTAAACACATAAAGTTTCATGAAATATTAGAGAATTTTTCCCCAAAAAATCTTACCAGGGCTTGGCTACCAGGTATAAATATTATCGTTGAGTTGACGTTTTTAAGATGTCGAAAATTTCTTAGCTCTCTGAGTCCCGTAAATAAAATTTTACATTCCTAGCGACTAGCCTTAGAGGAATACTGACAGAGGAATTGACAACCAAGCAAAAGTCTTCAAGCTACCAAGTTTTGACCCTAATTTGACCATATAAATATTTAATATGTACACTCGTATAATTTCAAACCTTAAAAAAATCCATAATTTTCCATGATTATAATAACAGATTGGCGCTTATACATATGTTAGTGTTTGGCCGAACGGCGATTGTATTTTTATGAGAAGCTGTTTTTCATGGCAGAAATACACTCGGAGGTTTGCCATTGCCTGCCGGGGGCGACCGCTGTTAAGGAAAAACCATTCTTCTATATTTTTTTCGATGTTGCTTTGACCAGGCCATGACTCCAGGCCCTGTGGAGTGGTAGCGCGCACTTCTAACCACTACACAACAGCTTGGAAAATCAGGATTGAATTGGTTCTGAAATATAACTAACAGTGACGGATCCAAGGTTTTACTGCGTGAGGGGGTTTCTGTTTTTATTTGTATTACCTATTTCATTTAAAGATAATTAAGACAGGGATTTGGCTCCAATTTTGCACCAACCAAATTTCATACTAAAACTGACAAATATCTATAAAATAGCCAAGCTGTGTCAAGATAATTCTTTATATGTTCACTATTTTTTGCCCAATTTACAAAATTGAGATATCCTGGAATGGTTATGATCCAATCTATCAGACAGATTAGTAACTTACATTTTTCATACAAAATGTCTTTTAAAATATATTTATTAAACAAACAAACAAACCCGGTTCAACAAAAATATTCATATTTTTTTCTAATAACTCTTTTCGAGATAGAGTCTCAAAGGGCTTACAAGCAGTTGTGGATAATTAGGTACAACTTTTTCACCCCTTTTATAATTTGAAAATACATTCGATATATACATAGTATTTTCGGTACATTGTAGGAGATTTTTCGATGTGTACATTTCAGACCGAAGTCATAACGCATTTTTCGGCGTTTGAAAAACCAGTTTCAGACGGTTTGAAAATACCAGTGTGGCGAGGCTCAATAATAGCATATCGTCGGTGTATTTGCAAAACCGCCAATCTTACGGCACTCAAATTTTACAGGAGAGCGAAAAAAGGGGGCTTCTTTAAAGGCATTTCTCTAGCTAGAAATCTGTTATTTTAATAAAGATTTTACGATTTTTATGCATAAATCTTGTTGCCTGGATTTCGGGGTTACCAAATCTCATTTTTGCCGTAATGTCGTAAATACATCACAATGTAAGCCAGTATAGAGAATATAACCATGTGAAACTCATCCATCAGTTTTGATTTTTGTACCCTTATTTAACTTAAGTCATTGTGAGTAGATATTTATTATATATTTATCATAATTAATAAAAATAAATTTAATTCAGCTAATAAGTACATAAACACAACATTGATGGATTCTGAGAAGGTACGAGGCTCGCCTGATCAGCTAGTTTTAAATAACTTAATGAAATGTGTATATGTTCCTCAAAATGTGTTATTTAATGGGAGCAGCGGTTTATTTGGTTCAGTTCCTCATACTTTGAAATCCCATTTAATGTTATTCATAAAATAAAATTTCACAAAGAGTACACAAAATCAAAACATAAATGTGAAAAATACACACGAAAAATTAAACAGCTTTTCGTGACTCTAATTTTGAAGTCGTCTCCAAGTGAAAAACCGGACCTAACACGACTATGATACCCTTAATCTATAGATTAGTTAAAACCATTCGTTAGCTTAGTTAAAACCCTACATTTTCTTGACTATGATCATACGCCAGCGCTCATAATCGACCCGCATTTTCGATAGTAGTTATGTTCGGGAAATACCATATGGCATTTGAAAGTCTCTGACATTAAAACATTTAGTTGCTACTAAAATGTACTTACAAATTGGTTTCTATCTATCCAATAAGGTACAGTACAGCATGTATGTATATACATATGTATGTATTTTGGTATTTTTTTAGAATATTTTCAACAATTTCATCAATCGTATTTAAAGCACCCATTTTTATAAATACTTATTTAGTTTAACAAAATAACGTATCCTTTCTATAAAAAAAAACATTTTATTTCTAAATTAGTTAATAGTAACATTATTCCAAACTTTGTCCAATCGCCAGTCGTTCTATTTTTATAACCGTTGTTACTCTGATAAAACCGTTTACATGCAATATGAGTAAAGCTCGTTGTAGGTACAGGGCTTGCGGCAACATTCGTCGTATACACCTTCACGGCGACGACGAGTCTTGGCCAATGTGTCAACTTGGCCGCCATGAATCTTAGCTAGGAAAGGCGAGGACGCATAGTGTGAAGGTAGCCCATCTTCAACGTCATTGTCGCCAAAATCATTCCATCCCACTAAAAGAAGGATATTTTATTTGAAATATTTAAATAGTGAATCTTAAAACATTATTTGTATGTACATATATAACTTTGAGAGTAGCTTTGTAGCTAATTAAGTATACTCACTTGATCTCTTGAATTTCGTATTGAATCCATTTTCGCAAATAGTATCGAGCACAGCATCAATTGCCGGCCCACATACCGTCCTTTGGGCTATAATTTCTTGCAAACATGCAAACAACACAAACAGAGAAGCGTAGATTTTAAGCACATTATGTGACATAGTAACAGGTGTTTTGTTAGTAAGTATTATTATTTATGTAAAATATATATTCGAAGGCAACACTATATTACATGCAACTTGGCGTTGAAGCTGTGCAAAGTAACTGATGGAATTTGCAGTTTCCCTGTGTGCTTTTATACTAGCGACGAAAAGGCAAAAATAGATTTGGTTTTAGGGCGAGCCAATGCATGTTTGTAGTACATACAAGTACAGCAGTTTAGCATATTTCCTTCTTAACCCACTTTGCCGATTTAAGAAGTCAAGGTCGTCAAGGGCGTTGAAAGAATTTTGCAACTAATATGCTGAATACATACGAACGTGTGTATGTACTTTAAGGTGGTCCAAAAAGAGTTAAGTCGGAATCTTAATGCTCTCACCCCCTAGGATTGTTCTATATCCAAAAAGTATACCCTTATTCTTTTATTTTGAAATCCAAAAATATTTAGAGGTCACTCAAAGCGCTCAAAGTTTTCCATGTATTTTATATGGGGAAATGGTATGGAATTCTTGAAAATCAATATTTTTCGATGGGAAAACTCTGTTTCTCTGCACAAGACTCGCAACAATAATACTCAGTTTTTTATTTAACCAGTTTTTAATACTAACGATTTTTTACTCAACCCCTCATTGCATTTTCGGGGTTTTTGGTGGAACTATAAAATTTTGTTACTATGGAAAAATGGTTAAATAAACAATTGGGTATTATTATTTGGAATCTCTTTAGTTTGAAGTTCTTACGTACGTACTTGGCTTGTCAATATCCCAATATTTATTTATCCACATCTTCTTCAATGTATTTATCGATATTATTATCCATGCATTTATCGCCATCAATTAGGTGGTTCACAAGTAACAAAACAAAAAAGTAACAAAATATTTAACAAACCAAACAACGAGACGAAATGCACATAAAAATATAAATAAATGAAAGAACAGTAATTGTAAACACAATATCATACAAACAACGTTGCATTGGACGGCACACAGTACGACATAAATATGTATGCAAATCATCCAGCATTGTAATGTTATCATAGACGAAGTTCGGACTTAGCAACTTTTCACTCTAAGCTAGCGATATCCCAACGGTTTTCCCAACGGTTTTTACCCTCCATTCCCGCCCATCCGCACGAGGGGCGCAGTCCGCATGACGTCGGAAGCAATATTTTAAATTTTTGTGCCGAGTCACGATAGGCAGGAGTTTGTTAAGTGTCGAGATCTAAAACTGTTCAGCTACAGAACTAAGTTCATCAGCCGATTTTATGTATTTATGTCAATAATTCAGGAGAGGAGAGGAGAGTATCGCTTTCTTAATGGTGAAAAGCGGATCTGATATATCAAACGTGCTGGAATGAGAGTTAAAATCCTGGCATAAGCAACGGAGTGGGTCGTGCAATTCAAAATTGGTTTTACAAGCTTTCAGAAATATGGGACAAAAGTGTCTTGATACGCGTGACGGAACATTAAAGCTTACATCAGCCAAAAGAGACGGACTTGAAATTGAGCCTGTCAGTAATTTAACCATAAAAATT